GATTAATAATCACAATCCCAATAATGGCCTAATCAACCAGCCCCCTTTTCCCTTGTTGTAGCCGAACACAATCACCCAAAAAACCTGCCCAAACCCATGTCACAACCCCCACACTTGTTCCCCATTATGCTCTCCATTATATGTAAGGAAACAAGCTGCAAACAAACAAGACATATTGGCCCACCTTGGCAGCAATCCCACTCACCTTTGCATCTCCATAGCCAGCCCACTCACCCTTTGTACCCCCTGCCTGGCCGAAACAACCCACCCAAAAACCCCCAAAATAGCAGCCCACTCCACCACAATAATAACCCAACAATAGCCCCACAAGCCAGCCCCTATCTCTGATTTCCTCCCCCACCAAAGGACTCAAATAAGTGGTTATTATTCCTTTAATTTGTGTGAATAAGAGACTTGGTAGTCTCCCTTGTTTTGCTATATATATTTCGGCCATAGGCCTTGTAAAACGGAAGATTGTATTTCCCATTTCAGTAGCAATACACTTGTGTGTGTTCTATTTTAAATTCTATTTTTATATCTTAAGAGTGGTTCTCTTAGGTGTGAGTTATAGGTTCTAGCTATTTGAATAAGTGTGTAATATCTTATTTGAATACTAGATTCACCCCAAGTAAAAGATAAGAGTGTGTAATATCTCTTAACACCTGCTTGGTTTATTCCCCCCTCAAGAAAACAACTAAAATATATACTTCCCTCCTCCACTCTATTTCGGCCACCACCCCAAGAATCCATCCCCTTCTCATTCTCCCCTTTCCTTCCTTAACCACAATCACCCTGAACTTCCCCCCTCTCTTGTTCCATACGTCCCAGCCCAAAACAGCCTTTGCCCTCTCATCCATTTCCCCTTGAAGTTGAGCCTAACACATCGATGGGAGAAAGTACCCATCGATGGGAAGAGGGGTTCTGGAAAAGAGAAGACTTCCCTTCCAGCGATGGTATAACCCACCCACCGCTGGTTCCCCCTGACTTCCAGATTCCTTCACCTTGAACCGTCCCGGCAAAAAAGAGTTAGAAAACCCTCCGATGCTCAAGTTAGTAAACGTTCATTCAAAGATAAAAGAGTGATAAAATGCACAAATTAGATCATCGTGGAGTCAAGGATTCCGAGTTCGTTACGAATGCGGAAGAACGACTCTTTCTCTAAAGGTTTTGTGAAAAATATCGGCTAATTAGTTGTGTGTTTCAACAAACTCAATTTCGACATCACCTTTGAGAACATGATCTCTAATGAAATGGTGCCTATCAATGTGTTTCATCCTTGAATGAAGAACGAGATTCTTCGTCAAGCTTATGGTGCTAGTATTGTCACACCGAAGTGGAACGTGACTGATACTAAGGCCATAGTCCACAAGTTGTTGCTTCATCCAAAGAGTTTGAGCACAAGAACTACTGGCGGCAACGTATTCCGCTTCGGTTGTGGATAACGCAACACTGACTTGTTTCTTGCTAAACCATGAAACTAAAGAGCTACCAAGTGACAGTTGTAGTTTTTCGGGTAGTAAACCTTCCCAGTAAAGGGTTAGTTTTCTCTCCAAGTGTCGTGTCTCTCGAGGAGTGGACGAAGGGAATTAGTTTAATTACTCTAACTAGGCGAAGATTAGGATTGATTTGTGAAAGTCTTCTCGGAACGATTATAGAAGGAGCAGAGTAAAAATAATAAATTAAGTTTACATAGTATAAGTATAGATCTGAACCTAGGGTCTCGACATCATTTGGATCTATTTTATCATATTAAATTAACAATTGGAATAATAATATTTCTATTACTACTCATCCATTTCTAGATTTGTACTTAATCTGTTGCACTTGAATATCATAGCCTTTTAGCATACAATATCTTCTCAATAAATAGCTAATTAAATCTTTCGAGAATAATTAACTAAATAAGGCAAGAACAATAGATTAACCATTCCAACATTAATTTAACAT